GTGTGACGGCGTGTTGGGGGTTCCCCGTCTCCTGCACCCCGAGATGTCACAAACAGACTGCACCAGCCAGTGGAATAGAGGAAGTTTATTGCCTCTCCAGGATACAGCATAGCACAGATGTAGTCTGGTTACAGAACTGGGCTAGGATGCCTCAGGCCCCCTTGAGTTGGGGGGAGACTGGGCCCCTAAACTCCAGCTCCTCTCCCTAGGCTGTCTCCTCCATGCTCTCCCACAGTAACAACTAACTTCCCTTGCAGCCCTGCCCCCCAGTCCAGGGCAGCATTCACCTTCCTTTGTTCCTCTCCATGGGGGGTGTCTGGCCACTGGTTCGACAAGTTTGGCCTTATCTCTGCCTAGCGAGATTTTCCCTGCTGGGTCTTGCTCCAGACAGCAGGGGTCACCACAGCCCAGCAAGTACCCCCACTACGTCACACTCCCAGGGAGCGGAACAATGGGAAGAAGGGGAGTGGAGCCCTGGCTGGGGGCAGGGCTGGAAGTGAGGGAGTTTCTGTCTGGGATCATGGAGGAGACAGCCTAGGGAAAGGGGCTGGGATTTAGGGGCCCAGGCTCCCCATCTCAAGGGGGGCTGAGGCATCCTAGGCCTGCCCTGGAACCGGATAACATCTGTGCTGGGCTGTATCCGGGAGAGGCAATAAACTCCCTCTGTTCTACTGGCTGGCGGAGTCTGTTCGTGCAGGAGATGGGGAAACCCGACGTGCCGTCACAGGGCCCCCTGTCTCTACTCCCACGAAAACTCTTCCTGAGCCCTAGAGGCCTCACGGTGCCACGTGGCTTTTCTCCTTCTGAAGACCCAACTTCAAATCCCCGGGCAGGGCACAGGCAAGAGCGTGGGAACCCCCATCCTGCACGTTCGGCTCAGAGCCGGGCTGAGCGGGAGCGGCGGGGCTGGGGCTGAAATGAGACGGGAGTAGCAGCTTTACCTTCTCTTTCGCGACCCCCTTTCTGGGCTTCACCGTAAGCGCTGGCGGCTGCATGGCGACCTCCCCAAACTGCACCGGGTCTGAAACAGGGATGTGAAGTCCCAGTTAATCCGTGAACTGATTAAGCAGCTCCTGCAGACCCGGGGCTGCTCATGGGTACTGGTTAACCGGTACCCAGTAACTATCACCTGGTAAAGGTGATCTTACCGGGTAACCAGTTACCTGTTCACATCCCTAGTGTGAAAGGAAGGCACAGAGGAGGAAGCAAACATTGCTGGAGATCTGAGGTGGTGCAAGCCAGCAGGCACACTCACCAGCTCAAAGCTCTCTAAGGATCCTACTTAAGCAGTGAATGCTGCTGGAATGCAGCTGCCTCTGGGGAGAGCCACTTTGAGCAGCGCTGCAGAACAGCGGGCGGAAGCAAGATCCCAAGCCCAACAAGGCAAGTAGACAGGAGGAAGCTCCATCAGCAAAGTACTGGCCAGGGCCCCGCAGCGTGCAGAGCAGGCCCCAGGAAAATGAGGAGCCAAGGGAGCAAGAGAACTTGGGGACCAAACTTCAGGTAACCCAAACCTTCTCTCCTCTTCTCCCCCGGAGCCAGGGCAGGGGATCTGCAGGGCTCCGTGTCCCAGCCCCGTGCCCAGAGCCAGCACAGTCCCACCTTTCTGTACCCAACTCCTACCTTGGAACAAGGCCTTCTCCAGCATGGCCACTTTCTTCTCTTCTTTCTTCCTCCGCATCTTCGCCAGGCGTTTGTTCTGAAACCTACACGAAGCGGAGCCGGGTGGGTCAGAGGGCAGGGAGGGCTCGCTAATAAGAGGATGCCAGGTGCTGGGGGGAGGGGGAGGAAGGCTGCTAACTCCCTGATTAGAACAGACCAGTCTGCAGGACTTAATCCAGGCTGCCAACTGCCAGGGCGGTGTGGGTATGGGTGGCGTCTCACTGCTCGTATGTGCCCCACCGGACATAGCGTGGGCCCCGGCTTCTTAACTTGACAGTACCCTTTAAGAGCTGAGAAGTCCGCACCTCCCCAAGCTGCTCCCCCTCCAGCTGGGAATGCACAGACTGCCCTCCCGCCAGGGGTATGTCTACACTGGTGCGTTCTTGCGCAGGTTCCGTTTTGCACAAGAGTTCTTGCGTTGAAGTACTTGGGCAAGAGAGCGTTCGCGTTGGCCACGGCGCATCCTCGGAGCCGTGGGCTTTTGGGCAAGAGAGCGTCCGCGTTGGCCACGGCGCATCCTCGGAGCCGTGGGCTTTTGGGCAAGAGAGCGTCCGCGTTGGCCACGGCGCATCCTCGGAGCCGTGGGCTTTTGGGCAAGAGAGCGTCCGCGTTGGCCACGGCGCATCCTCGGAGCCGTGGGCTTTTGGGCAAGAGAGCGTCCGCGTTGGCCACGGCGCATCCTCGGAGCCGTGGGCTTTTGGGCAAGAGAGCGTCCGCGTTGGCCACGGCGCATCCTCGGAGCCGTGGGCTTTTGGGCAAGAGAGCGTCCGCGTTGGCCACGGCGCATCCTCGGAGCCGTGGGCTTTTGGGCAAGAGAGCGTCCGCGTTGGCCACGGCGCATCCTCGGAGCCGTGGGCTTTTGGGCAAGAGAGCGTCCGCGTTGGCCACGGCGCATCCTCGGAGCCGTGGGCTTTTGGGCAAGAGAGCGTCCGCGTTGGCCACGGCGCATCCTCGGAGCCGTGGGCTTTTGGGCAAGAGAGCGTCCGCGTTGGCCACGGCGCATCCTCGGAGCCGTGGGCTTTTGGGCAAGAGAGCGTCCGCGTTGGCCACGGCGCATCCTCGGAGCCGTGGGCTTTTGGGCAAGAGAGCGTCCGCGTTGGCCACGGCGCATCCTCGGAGCCGTGGGCTTTTGGGCAAGAGAGCGTCCGCGTTGGCCACGGCGCATCCTCGGAGCCGTGGGCTTTTGGGCAAGAGAGCGTCCGCGTTGGCCACGGCGCATCCTCGGAGCCGTGGGCTTTTGGGCAAGAGAGCGTCCGCGTTGGCCACGGCGCATCCTCGGAGCCGTGGGCTTTTGGGCAAGAGAGCGTCCGCGTTGGCCACGGCGCATCCTCGGAGCCGTGGGCTTTTGGGCAAGAGAGCGTCCGCGTTGGCCACGGCGCATCCTCGGAGCCGTGGGCTTTTGGGCAAGAGAGCGTCCGCGTTGGCCACGGCGCATCCTCGGAGCCGTGGGCTTTTGGGCAAGAGAGCGTCCGCGTTGGCCACGGCGCATCCTCGGAGCCGTGGGCTTTTGGGCAAGAGAGCGTCCGCGTTGGCCACGGCGCATCCTCGGAGCCGTGGGCTTTTGGGCAAGAGAGCGTCCGCGTTGGCCACGGCGCATCCTCGGAGCCGTGGGCTTTTGGGCAAGAGAGCGTCCGCGTTGGCCACGGCGCATCCTCGGAGCCGTGGGCTTTTGGGCAAGAGAGCGTCCGCGTTGGCCACGGCGCATCCTCGGAGCCGTGGGCTTTTGGGCAAGAGAGCGTCCGCGTTGGCCACGGCGCATCCTCGGAGCCGTGGGCTTTTGGGCAAGAGAGCGTCCGCGTTGGCCACGGCGCATCCTCGGAGCCGTGGGCTTTTGGGCAAGAGAGCGTCCGCGTTGGCCACGGCGCATCCTCGGAGCCGTGGGCTTTTGGGCAAGAGAGCGTCCGCGTTGGCCACGGCGCATCCTCGGAGCCGTGGGCTTTTGGGCAAGAGAGCGTCCGCGTTGGCCACGGCGCATCCTCGGAGCCGTGGGCTTTTGGGCAAGAGAGCGTCCGCGTTGGCCACGGCGCATCCTCGGAGCCGTGGGCTTTTGGGCAAGAGAGCGTCCGCGTTGGCCACGGCGCATCCTCGGAGCCGTGGGCTTTTGGGCAAGAGAGCGTCCGCGTTGGCCACGGCGCATCCTCGGAGCCGTGGGCTTTTGGGCAAGAGAGCGTCCGCGTTGGCCACGGCGCATCCTCGGAGCCGTGGGCTTTTGGGCAAGAGAGCGTCCGCGTTGGCCACGGCGCATCCTCGGAGCCGTGGGCTTTTGGGCAAGAGAGCGTCCGCGTTGCGCCGGAGAGCTGGGTGGCAGAGGTGGTGATGTCACCACGTGGCCCCTGCAGGCTGTGCGCGCCTTTCAGGGGGCTCGGGTTACCAGGAAGTCCGGAGCTGCCTGCGCGTACGGAGTGTCCAGGCGGCCACTTGGCTTCTTTCCTGTTTGGACGGTTCTTGCACCAAATCTCTTGGCTGCCTGTCTACACTGACCTCTTGCGCAAGAGGGCTTCTTCCTGAGCGGGAGCGTCAGAGCTCTCATGCAAGAAGCCGATTTTCTACAGTACGTCACTTTCCTTGTGCAAGAACGCACCAGTGAAGAGACAGCCCGGGAGCACAATACCAGCTGCTGGATGGTGGTGACGCGTCCTACCCCCCGGAGGAATAGCTCCTGGTCTGGCCCCAGGGGGACGGGAGGACAGGACTCTGCCGGGGTTGGTTTCGGAGCGTCAGAGCTCTCATGCAAGAAGCCGATTTTCTACAGTACGTCACTTTCCTTGTGCAAGAACGCACCAGTGAAGAGACAGCCCGGGAGCACAATACCAGCTGCTGGATGGTGGTGACGCGTCCTACCCCCCGGAGGAATAGCTCCTGGTCTGGCCCCAGGGGGACGGGAGGACAGGACTCTGCCGGGGTTGGTTTCGGTTAGT